TTACTGTAGTGAATCGTTCAAAAATTAATGTACTATAAGATTTAACAAAAATGATATGAAACTAATAACTCTTTCAAATTGTGTAAACCTCGGTACATAATTAATGGACTTATTCCGTAAATCTCCCTGATGTTCATATTAATATCAATATATCGACACCCTATATTCAAAAAGTGCTAACTCAATCTTGGGCCAAAGTGAGTTTTTGATAGCAAATGGTATAAATTTGGGATCAATATATTAACTTTTGTGCTTTTTATATCTGTTTTGTCTACTACACAAAGTAGAATATTTTTTTTAAGAAAATAAGTGCTATCTCCCATAGTAATTTTACAACATTTTTTGAAAGATTAATTTTATTAAATAATTATCTCCGCTATTACAAAATATGACATACTGAACAGGAATCTGTTTAATAAATTGGAATTCAATATTTAGTTTCGGAAATATAGTCATTTTTATTTTACCAATAAATGTTTCAATTTTTAAATTTTCCTTTGAACAAAATGTGCTAACTAAAGATAAATCCTTGAAAAACACAAAATGTATTAATTTGTATATAATTATAAATTGGTAAGATTATTATAAACATATTATGGAAAGAAAGTTATTAATTTGTTCAACATTATACAAATTAAACAGTTTTTTTCCTCTCCTGAAAACTAGACATTTTTGAATTAGCACTTTTTGAATATAGTGTCTCGATATGTGTAATTTTAAAAATTTTCGAACATGATTCTCTGATTTCGATGAAATTTGGTATACACATTTTTTGTATCAATACAAAATTAAAAGTTTTCCAAAATTTTCAAATTCATTACGGTTTAGAGGTTGAAAATCCACATTTTTTCTCAAAGGCATAAAATTTAATATCGTATATTTTCTAAACTACTTTTCCGATTTTATAATTTTTGTATCTTCCATTTTTACTACACTAAAATATACAACATATACAAACAACAGAATGGGACCATGAGGGGATCTCTAGAAAGTTAACTTTTAGTAAAACAGTCCATATCATTTCTATACAAATTTAAAAATTTATACTTTTGTTCATTGATGAAAAAAAATAATTCAAACAAAAAATATATAATGTGAATTAATTTACTAAAATTCAATTTTCTTGCGATCTCCTCATGAACCCATTCTAATTTTTTTGTGATATAATTGCCAAGCTACTTTTAAAATTGTTTAAACCTAGAAAACCCATAAAAACTAGACTAGAAATAATAATAATGTTAATATTTTTAAGAAAAAATAAAAAACCCCCAAAAATAGCAGAAAAATTACAAAAAAATCCCCAAATTTTACGAAAATCCCCAAATCCCTCCCCACGAAAATCTGTCCCCAAATAAAACTTGAAATCCCCAATTTGGGGACAAATCCCCACATCTGGCGACACTGTATAGGACTGTAGTTACATGTAAGCATTGTATATTATAGTTCAACAGATATTTTTTGTTTTAGATGAGTCATTTTTTCTTGACGAAAACCGTTACATATATTCCTAGTCATAATATCATGAGAAATTATATTACACTGTCCGATACTCAAAATTAGATACAAACTCGTGATCCTGTTTCCTTGTAAAAGGACTTCAAAATTTCAAAGGAGCACATTTAAAAAAAAAATGTTTTAAATACTTCTGCTTACCATACTATGACAAATTTAGTCTCAAATGACCAAGAAGAGGTGTAAAATATTTTGTGTTATTTTTATTTTATTCTGTCAAAATCGAAAGAAAATTTGTGTGAAAAAATAATATTGAAAACCAAAATATATATTAAAGGATAAAAATTTTAATGGACATTGATCTTTTTGACCTGACAGTATGAAATAAAAATAATGTCCTTTTGATATCATGTATTTTATGTATTTTAAAATATTTTATCGAAAAATGTACTTCTTTAAAACTTTGAATTAATTTAAAGACCCAGTTTTTCTCTATTAAATGTATATGAAGTTTCAAACGTAAGTATATCATCCGGTTCGTGTCTAACGTATATTTTCCCTTATTGACGGACGATGCACAGAGGGTTGAAATTGTCAAAAATGGAGTAATTCAGGGGAGCTTTTATTTTAACTTATTGTTCATCGATATGTTAAAATACATAAAAATACAAATTTTTTAATAAAATTGTTAAAAATTTTTAACAAAAAATTTTTTGTAAGCTTTTACGGGCTTTTTTATTTTTCGGGAAATAATTACTTGATTTAGAATTTTCGCTGTAGCTTTATAATGAAAAGCGATAAATTAAAAAGTTAAATTGGAAATGAAGGTATATACTTTGTACTATTTGAAAAATAAAAAAAAAATAATCCAGTTTTGTATATATATTAGGGTGATCGATTATTCGACATTTTCCAAAAACCGGTTTTCGAATAGTTCGAATAGTTGACATTTAAAAAAACCGGTTGGTATTTTTCAAATTCTGAAAAACCGGTTAACCGGTTTTTCATTATAAATAAAAAAAATCTATTTTAATTTGAAAAACTTAATGTTTATGTTTAAATTTGATTAATAAAACATGGTCAGAATGATTTTTAACAGTTTAAAAGATTATAACTTTAGATCTAGTCGTCTGATTTACATTATTTCTTTAATATAAAAAATTAGGAAAAAAGTGGGACACTTCTGTTAAATAATCCTAGCTTATTTTAAAATATTTTTTTTTAATTAATTAGGAAAATCAAAAAAGTTTAACCAAAGGAGCTGTAGAAAAATATACGCTAGTTCCTCGGCTCGAATATTTTTAAAATTTAGACGGGCTGTATTATTATTTACTTAAAAATTTCATTTAAATAATCTTTGAACACAAAGCCAATAAAAGTATTCGAAACCGGTTTTTAAAAAGTAAAAAAACCGGGTTATTCGATATTCGAAAAATCAACATTAAGAAAAAACCGACACTGGTAAAGCAGAAAAAAAATTTTATAATTTTTTTCTTGATAAATAACTACACTCAAAACAAAACCATTTTATAAAAAAAATATAAATATTTGTTTTTGGCTTATTTGACACTAGAATATGAATATGAGCATAACTTATCAATTTGCTTGAATTTGGAAATAATTAGCTCTAATTAACAATTTTTTAAATATGTTTTAAAAAATGTGTTATTAAAATTATTTATTATAATTTTAAAAAATGTGGTAAACTCGTTAATATTCCCATGGTGCCAAAAATAATTATACGTCTCTTCATAAACCACCTCATAACTATTCTTCATCTGAAATATTTTCGCCTTCTGATGTGTCACTGTCTATTGGAAGGAGTTTTTCTTTTCATATAAATTGCTTTTACCGGACATAGTTGGATCCGAGGTGGTTAGGAACCTATAAAGTTCCTAATCCCTAAGTTCCCTATTATTTAGGAACATGAACACTAATGTACAAATAGTGCTGATTAGGATGAACTAAGTAATAAAAACCAGCTCTCAATGCTTTGTCTAAACTAGAGTTGGAATCGTGAGTACCTTTTACCCACGACCATGTAAGTATAGTAGAGTAGAGTATAAAGAAAAATCAAACATGGTCATTAATCGGTCTACGAAATTCCCACGTCAATATATTTAAGTAAAAAATCACGATAATTTGAGATCATGCGTGATTCACGATAATCATGTGAGTGGTTTTGCTCGTTTCTGTTGTAAACATAAATCAAAACTTAATTAAAATTCAGTACAACAATAACAATCATAACATCGAAAACGATGACAAACAAATTAAGACAAGAACATTTGGTTTTTGATGAATAACTATTTTTACAATTTATTTAATAAAAGTGATACGCGCAAAACTTTTTCTTGATTATTAAAGCCAAGATATTGTAGTTTAATACAAAATTTAAATTTTTACCCAATGTTACCCAATACTAGAGTATTCAATTATTCGGGTTTTAATTTTATTCGGTTTACTCGATAAATAATTATTTGAGGTTTTATTTCAGCCGGTTAGTAATCGGATAATTCAAAATTGTTTGGTTAATCGAATAAAGGGATGCTTTTTATTAATTGCATTGCTTTTTTACAATATTTTTTTTCTTATAACAAACTAAATTATAATTTTCCACTTCTTTGAGTTGAATTTTAACTAAATTAATAATTAATAAAACAAATAATTACATTTTTTAATTATTATAAATAATTTTTCATGTGAAATCCTTTCCTACATAAAGAAATTCAGTTAATTAATTTTATGTTTTTGTGAGATTTTCAACAAGTGTATAACTTTTGCTGAAAAACTTATTAGAAATACTTAAGAAACACAACTATGTTCTTCAAAACTGGTTGTAGAAGTAAAAGTGATATCATTATTTCCATTGTAGAAGTAGGTAAATCGGAACAAATTCTTAAAATGTTTCTGAAGTATTGTTATAAAAATATTAAATAAATGTTCTTCATTATAGAAAAATAATAAAATAATAAATAAAAAAAATTTATCATAAAAATATTGAATTTCGTATGAAATATACATAAATTTTACTGTTAAGCAGTAAGTTTTCTTAATCGGTTAATTGATAGAAATTATTCGGTTTATTCGTTTTTTGAAATTTGGCAATTTTCATTTATTCGAATGATTAATCGTCAAAAATTGATCGATTAACCGATCGACGATTAATCGTTTGAATACCCTACCTAATACCCATTTAAAACTCTACATAGATTTCAAAAATAGCGCAAAAAGGAACATTTTTAAGAAAAAATAATAAAAATATTTCAACATGCTTTTTTAAATCCAGTCTTTTTTTCGATCATACCTAATAATAAAACTATCCCTTTTAAAGTATTAAAAAAGGTTATAAAGTTTCTATGACATTACACTGAAAAACTGAATAGGTTTTTTAAGCAAAATGGTTAACTTTTGAGTCACCTCTGACTCATTTGTGGTTAACCATAAGTTAGTTTTAAGTCAACTCAAAATCGAACTAGGTACTTTTATAGTTTATTTCTTTTAATTAATACATTTTTTGTAATACATTGTTTTTAATATATTTTCAGGTTTTACTTCTCAGTCACAACATCTAAATGGAGGAAATGTTGGAATGCCTAATACTGTTATGAACTCCCAACAAAGTTCACAACCGCATGTCAATGCAAATGTCCAAGGAATGTTAGAATACTTGAAAACGCGTCAATTTGTCTAAATCTATTCTTATATACACATATACAAATAAACGTTAATACTAAAATAAAATGTCTAAGTACTTTTTAGTAATTGGTTTTCTGTTGCGAGTTAAAAATAAATTCTGCTACACGTATTCTCGATTTTCGCTGCCGTTTTCCTTCAAGCTTGCATTTTGTCCTAGAGCCACAATTGTTATGATTTTATATTGTTGTTTGTTTGCATTTTGTGTTTTTTATTCTATTATTTTAATATATGGGAAATTCTCTTTTTATTTTAGATTTTAAGAAATCAACTTTGTGCATTTAATATTTCTTTCGTGTAATATTTTGAAAATTATGAGATGACGAATTTTTATTCACAAGCAGTATGACCATGCAAAATTTTTTTAAGTGCTTTCATGAAGCAATTCATATTAATTAATTTGTAACTCTATTTATAAAAAGTAAAAATATTCTGATGTGGCCAATCACCTACACCAGATATGAGTATAAAATTGGATTTAATTTTCATAAAAAACATTTATGTTAAATTTTACCTTGTTTCCGACATATTTAAAAGTTTTTTTAAAAAGGCTTTATAAATATACAAATGTATGGAGGCTAGGTAAAATAAAGGACCGACTTTAACCATTTCATAAAGTTTTTGTCCTTGGGCCAAAAAAGCGTACGTGTCAAACTTCATCAAATTGTTTTACAACTTGCAACCTGTGCACACAAGCTTGCATACATGGCCTAAACGATTCAGAAAATGATTCATAGCCGATTATTATTATAAAACGTACTACAGTGGTATAGCGTAAATAGTTAAATTCAGTGGCATTAAGATAAAACTACAGAAATGCTAAAAATTATTTAAAATTTTTTGCCAATTTTACAATTATGTAATGTCTCAAACTTAAAAATATATCTGAATGCTAAAATTACATTAAAACTCTATAATTATACTAGTTTACAACGATATAAAACTCATGACGTCAATTTTTTAATTATTTATTAAGAAAGAAAATTATAAAAAAGGGTTAAATTTGGAACGAAAAATTTAATATTTCCAGTCTTAGTTATTGTATACTTTTCAAATGGTTTTCATTTCAAAAAATATTGAAAAAAAAATTCGTACAAACAACGATTTTTTCACGTTTTTGTGGACTTGCAAAGATACAGATGTAAATTTTTCTTCGAAATGTAAATTTTGTGAAAAATTTGTTATATATGAATATAACCATACAAACGGTTTGACAAAATTAAATGTGTTTGTGTAAAAATCAAAACTTTTTGAATTTTGTACAAACAACCCGCAAGCATTTGTACAAACACGAAACACCCTAAAGGCCCAAATAGACTACACAAGCGGCTTGACAAACATACCAATATTTTACGTTTGTGCAAGCCTGTTGTGTAGTGTATGAGGGTGTTTCGTGTTTGTAGAAATGTTTGCTGTTCGTTTGTACAAAAATTAAAAAAAAATTATTATTACACAAACATATTGAATTTTTGTCAAACCGTTTGTATTGTTTATATTCATTAACAACAAAATTTTCACAAAATTTCTATTTCTAAGAAAAATTGACATCTGTATCTTTGCAAGTACACAAAAACGTGAAAAAATCGGTCTTTGTACGAGCAATGTTTGTGTAGTGTGTGTACGAATGAAAAAAGTATGTTTGATAAGCCGCTTATGTAGTCTATTTGGGCCTTAATACACTACACAACAGGCTCACACAAACGTAAAATATTGGTATGTTTGTTAAGCCGCTTGTGTAGTATATTATGGCCTATGTTTTCAATAATATTTATGAAAATTATGTAATTATGCCGTTTTCCAAATTATATGTTTCATTCAATGAGTAAACAAAAAGTATTAATTTATAAACTAGTGTTATTTATATATTTGAACGTACATATTACAGTACATACATATGTATATGAAATCCCTTAAATTATTTCTATCACCCTGATCCATATAAACTAGTTTTCTTTATACAAATTATTTTGTAGAAATTAAAAAAAAATGGATTGGATGGCAGACAAATATTTTAGAAGTCAAAATTTTAAAGTATTCACTTGTATGGACTAAAATATAAAGATCGATAACTTCAAGTAACAAACTACTTTTATGTGAAATCGTAATTTTTAAGTTTTTTAAGTTTATTTATCTTTATTAATCTTGAATCTCAGTGCAAATTAATACATTTGGCGCAATTTACATGACGACTTTTCAGACGTCTGTTTTTTCCAATTATCTTTTGCGTGACTTAAGGTGATTTTTTACATTCAACTATTCATGCCTTTTTATACCCTTCACCTTCGTGAGAAGAGTATATATAAGTTTGTCAATCCGTTTGTAATTTCCAAAATATAATTTTCCGACCCTATAAAGTATATATATTCTGAATCCTTATAGATAGCGGAGTCGATCAGTAAAAAATTTGTAACTCTTTTATAGGTTTTCACATAATCCGGGCTCTTCATACTTAATTACATGTTTCAATATTATAAAAAAATCAAAAAGTTCCCTTTAAATACTGAAAAAGTGCCAAAAAGTCCCATTTTATACGTTCTAACTTAATTCGGGCTCTACATGCTTTATTTATATTTCTAGGTTTCTGGATTATGGGTTCCCACTTAATGCAGACTCTACATACTTAATTTCATGTTTCTAGGTGCAATATTATAGAATTTCAAAAAGTACCTTTTGAAGAAGGAAAAAGTACCAAAAATTCCCTTTTTTGGGTTCCCACTTAATCCAGGCTCTACATAATTAACTTCATGCTTGTAGGTTCAATATTATAGAAATTTCAAAAAGTACCTTTTGAGGAACGAAAAAGTTCCAAAAAGTGCCCTTTTATGGGTTCTCACTTAACTCAGACTCTACATACTTAATTTCATGTTTCTAGGTTCAATAATATAGAAATTTCAAAAAGTACCTTTTGTAGGACGAAAAAGTACCAAAAGGTCCCCTTTTAATTTCATGTTTTTAGCAAGGACCTAAAATAACTGTTATCAAAATTTTAGAAATCAAAAAAATTGTCCTTTTTAAGAAATATTAAAAGTTACACAATAACAATAACATAAAAAATAAATGTTGTTCGTAACTGTTATTATTCAATTTATATTTTTTCTATTGTTTTGAAACACTTATATTTGATAAATATTTTTTTTCCTTGTCAATAAAAATTTTCTAACAGCAAATGTTATTTTTTATTATTTAAAACTATTTTAATTGATACAGAAAGAATGATCAATAGATTTTGGCTCCAACTTATAAAACTTCATTATGTCGAATTTTATCGCTATAAGTTTGTTAGAATGCAAAGTACAACATACAAGTACTGTTATGAACTAACTGACTTACTTATTTTATATCAATAAGTAATATAAAAAGAATATTTATTGAATTGAAATTGAAATATTTATTGAAATATAATAGTTATGTATAAGAAATATTTTTTTTTCGTTGTCTATAGCTGTTATCAAACAATGAAAAAATAAAAATTCAAAGAGTGGATAAGAAAAAAAATAGTTGAACTGTGATAGTTATTATTTAAGAAATATATCAAAAAATTTGTAACTTGGTTTCTAGATTGAATATTATAGAAAATTCAAAAAGTCCCCTTTTATAGGTTCTTCCCTAATCAAGTCTCTTCATACTAAATATTATGTTTCGAGATTCAATATTATAAAAAATTCAAAAAGTATCTTTTGTAGAAAGAAAAAGTACCAAAAAGTCCCCTTTTATGTGTTCTCTCCTAATCCGGACTCTACATACTTAATTTTATGTTTCTAGGTTCAATATTATAGAAAATTCAAAAAGTACCTCTTGTAGAACGAAAAAGTACCAAAATGTCCCTTTTTTTTGAGGTTCTTACTTAGTCAAGGTCCTACATTCTAAATTTCATGTTTCTTGGTTCAATGTTATAGAAAATTCAAAAAGTACCTTTTGTAGAAAGAAAAAGTACCAAAAAGTCCCCTTTTATGTGTTCTCGCCTAATCCGGACTCTACATACTTAATTTTATGTTTCTATGTTCAATATTGTAGAAAATTCAAAAAGTACCTTTTGTAGAACGAAAATGTACCAAAAAGTCCCTCTTTATAGGTTCTTACCTAGTCAAGGCCCTACATGCTAAATTTCATGTTTCTAGGTTCAATATTATAGAAAATTCAAAAAGTACCTTTTGTAGAACGAAAAAGTACCAAAAAGTCCCCTTTAATGTGTTCTCGCCTAATCCTGGCTCTACATACTTCATACCATGTTTCTAGCCAATAACAGCGTAACGTAGCGTGATGTTCATTCTTTATTTACGTGATTTAATCCAGAAACCTTGTTGCGAATCGTCCAAGGTTCCTGGATTAAAGCGATATGTATCTTACCTGTGTTAACAGGATTATCCACATCGGATGCAACGGTACTGAAGCAAGGTCGTGGCAACATATACCTTGCATCTGTTTACCTGCCTTTCGATTCTCCGACACTACCACCAACGTCGGAGCTGATGAAACTGGTCGAAGAGGCAAAATAAGAAAATTGTAATAGGTTGTGATGTCAACTCCCACCATGTAGCTTGGGGTGGTACAAACACCAATCTCAGGGGACAAGCCCTTATGGATTTCCTTAATACCAAAGGGTTGCTCACATCGAACTTAGGTAATAAAGCTACCTTCGTCAATAGAATCAGAGAAGAAATATTAGATATAACAATATGTTCAGAAGAGCTTATAAACGAAATTCAGGATTGGAGAGTGTCGGAAGAGCATTCCTTTTCTGACCATCGGTACATAAGATTTAAAATACTACGACCGTCACCAAAGCCGATAAAGTTTTGGAATAAGTCTAAAACTAATTGGACAATGTTCGGTTCCTTACTAAAGAACCGTTTATGTCAGAACACTTTTCAATGTCGAAATAAAGAGGACATAGACGCCAAAGTAGAAATGCTCACAAGCGCCTTGGTTGAATCGTTCGAGGACAGCTGCCCTCTGCGAGAGCGGAGATCTGCCCAGGAGAAACCCTGGGTAACCGGGGAGATCCGGAACCTTGGTAAGACTCTTCGCCATTTAACCGGGCACGGCGT